CTAGCAAACGTTTTGCAATCCGTGGTACATCATAATATTTTTATCTTTATTACTCGTAATGAGGAATAAATTACAATTAAAAGAAAGTATCTGATGTTTCAATTGCATATGAAGAAAACCCGCGTTTGTCGTTAAAATAAAAAGATTCATTTGAAAGAAATTCGAAGAACCCTTTTTGTATTAATGCTATTGCGTTAGCAGATCATTCATCCGAAATTTTGAATAGATGATGGAGATACTTGTAATATAATGTCCAGATTAGAGATTAATAGTATCCAAACTGTGCGAATTTTTGGATGCATTGTCCTTTGGTGAAGTAGTAGCGACACTAACTTGTTTGCTGGTATTGTTCGTAAACGGCATGGCAAACTTAAAATCAGCACCATTTGGTAATTTTCGCATGATCTTGCCGGATGTGATGAGCCTGCCGAAACCTTCTTGATGAGCGAAAGCATATCCCGAACGAAGAGATCGTCGAGTCCGCCTCGTCGAAGGTGTACGGAGTATGTCTTGACTTTGCCGAGAACGAAGTTTTGCCAACCTCTGCTTAAGCCTGACACGATCAGACAACGTTGGCCTGACGTCTATGAAGAAGAATCTCCACGACAGTACAGGTATTACTAGTATAATACACGAAATGACTGCTGTGAACCAAAACGTTGGTTCAGACATTGCCTAAAAAAGAGGTTGCACGTTCATTAATACTGAACTTTATCATTGCAATAATAGTGTTACAGCAGAACAACGCACCATTGTGAGACTGCCAACATAACTACCACCTATGACGAAATTATAGAAGTAATCTAAAATAAAATACCAAATGAGCGAGCCCCAAACCATAATGTGATTAACAATCGTCCAGTACGATGTATCAAGGGCTATTTGAACAGTCACGACTATGACTAATATAGTGGCTACAACACTTCCCAGTAACATATGATCAGAAAGTACATAGCCCTTTGGTGATACTCCATCCTTATAAGTTCCTACAATTCGCATAAATTTAAGCATATACATAATTTATTGGATTGTAAAATCAGATAAAATGGAATGTACATTATTTAGACTTACCATACGGAACTAAAAACAATACGCAACTGGCAAAAAAGCCATGTATGGCACTCCAGCAAAATTCCTTTTTATTGAAAAGTAAATTTTGTAATCCGGGTGCGTAGAGTTTCGGATACATTAAACTATATTTATCATCAACATCTTGATCGAATATACCGACTGCCATCACGGGTAACGACGTATAAAACAGATTGTAGACAGAAATGTACATAGGATCAAATACAGTCTGAAAGGAATATATATGTCTGTGAGTACACATGAAAAATTTATTGTTCAATTAAAATCCCGTTATGGATATCAGACTATCAGAATTATTAAGACCGTTCATTTTCCCGGAACTCAACTTCGGAACCAATTTGCTCGACAAAGGAATCTTGTAAATCACATTCGCCTTAACTTCATCATTTTACAATTACAATTTACAAAAATTTGAATACTGGTAATGATACGAAGGACATACCTGTGCGCTGAATCCACAGAAAAAGGCAAACCAGATGTGGCATAATGTGAACGCGAAGTTCTTGTAAAAAAAATATCTAAGAAATTTACTCATTCTATAGTACGACCATCTACCATGGACAAGGAGCAGTCTTTCCAGAAATCTAAATTGTCCTATCGAGTAATCAGACGCTAGTACAGCTTGTAATCCTTCTTGTCCACTGATGCCGACACCTATGTGAGCTGTCTTTATCATCGAGACATCGTTAGCCCCGTCACCGATCGCGAGTGTCACAGCATTCTTATTTTTCTTTATTAATTCGACTACCATCGCTTTTTGCAAAGGAGTCACGCGACAACATATCACTGCTTTACCTACAAGCGCACAATTTGAAAAATAATATATAAACTGTTCAAAAATAAAAGAAGCTTTGTGAACAGATGAAACTTACATTGGCTTGATACCTCAAGGAACAGTTGCTCAAGCTGCGGATGCAACGCATGAACCAAGGAATGTCCATTAATTACTACCGCGAATCCTGTTGCTTGTTCCATCTCGTGTTCGTCTTGTTCATCTCTGCTAGCATTGTATTCAGTGTCACTGCTGCATAGAGAAAAACGTGATGTTCGAAGGAAACAAACAACCAAGTTAGAACTCAATCGAACTTAAATCAATCAAAATAAACGTAATACTTCATTACTTGCAGAACAGGAAAAATAAGTAAATTTACTTCGTTTTGTTGAATAAAAAAAAAACCGATGCGCATTAATTATAAACAATACACAGAGTGCACTGTAATATGGACTACTGATATAAAAAACGTGACATAAGCAACATACTTCTTGTGTGTTATTATTATCATTATTACTAAGATTAATTTTAAGCATACAGAAAGAGAAGGAGTGAGTATCAAGCACATGGTAATTATCATTATTTGTCTCGACTAATTAATGTTAATAATCATAACGTATTGGAAGAGTACAAATAAAAATTGTAGTATTGTTCTAAAAGAACACCTAATACCTAATCTACTACGAAGTGAAATGGCTACATCATAAATAGAATGATCGACAAGCACGAGATAAATGGTTTCAATGTTTCCTCAGTTGTAAAAAAATCTGAGAATGAAAATAATTAATATTGGACGAAATTTGAAGGTTGTATAAATTCTTCAAACCGTAACATGCAAATATATTTTTGTAATAAACTTAATTGAATTTAAACGTGAGACATTGTCTCAGTAAATTTAATTTAGGTACTTAATATGTGCTATTATTAATACCTTCGCAATGTCATGATTATTGCATGCTAGAATATATTCAGAATGGACAATAGAGGTGACAGAAACATTATTGAAATTCTTTAAAGTAATTTGAACTTTGACTTTCATCATTTTAGCTCAACGTTGAAGGCAACGAAATTGGATAGAATATTTGAAATATTCACAGATTCTTAGGCATAACCAGACGAAAGCATTACACAGAACATGATGCCACATTCAATACGAAAGAGAAACTTTTTAAATAAATGCGTTAATTAGTCAGATTGAAAAATGGAAAGGGTTAATGATCGGTACTCCGTCTCTTTCATGTGCCTGACCTTTCCTTGTCCCACCTGAATGTGACAACGGAGAGTGTTGGACGATTTTGATGATTGGAGGTTGTTTTAATAGTTTCCAAGTACCGCGCTAACTGATTTTCGACCCCATCGTAGGTAGTGGCATCGACTATAAAAACATCTGTAAGGTCGTCTGTTAACAGCTGACAGGAGTAGCCAATATTGATAGCCGTTTCTGTATAAAAAAAGGTGCATGAAGATATTTACTACTGAAAGTGACACATTGATGTTAGATTTCGTTTACCTTGTTTATCACCGGTTAATACCCAGATCTTGATACCAGCAAGAGCCAAGTTAGCAATCGTTTGAGGTACACCATCTTGCAATTTGTCTTCAATAGCAGTAGCGCCTAATAAAGTCATATCTTTCTCTATCTCTTCGTAAATCGCGTCCAATTTATCGTCCCTATTCTCTTGACTCATGGCAGCTTCTTGATGACGTTGCTTCCAATCGTTGAAAAACTGTTCATCGAGATCCCTCACGGAAAGACACAATGTCCTCAAACCTTCGCCCGCAAATTTATTGAGATGATCTAACGTTTTTGCCTTAATGTCCTCGCTGCCCTTTTTCAACCGTTCGTAGATAACGTTGTCCGCACCTTTGCAGTACAACCTAAGATGCCCGTCTTTCCTTAGAATCACAGACATTCTTTTTCTAACGTTGTTAAAGTCCAAAATGCAAAGCAGTTCGTATATCTCGCGTTTCCCCATAACTTCGATGGTTATGCTATTTGGAGATCTTTCTTTGAATACAAAACCAAAGTTTCTAGCTGCGGATACAAGTGCAGCTTCATCCGGCGACTGCGCTTGATACTCTAACCTGCCGCTTTTTTCTTCCGGCATAACCGTATGACAAAGTGCCAATAATCGAAAAAAACTGTGAACATCCTCGTTATTCCTCTTTACAGCGTCGAGCAGTGCAGAATCGTAGAACTTGAAGTCTGGCTCGTAATCCTTGTTGAACGAGAAATCCAAAGCTGGCAATGTCTGTAAACGTAGATTAAGTAACGTTTAGATACAATCTCTTACGTCCAGCTACGAGTTAGTCGGCATACAACAGACAGTATGTGTAAATCAAAGTACTAGAGATTAGAGTAAATACCTTGCTTCCGTGTAAATAGATTTGTTGTAAGTCAGCGGACACATATGAGAGATGTTATAATATTATAATTTCTTTGAAGCATTATGAAAATTAGTGTTCGAGGTTTAAACAATTTAGAAATAAGCGCCTATTAGACAAAAGAATGCGACACAATGCAACTACTGTAGAAAAAGGCTTAGAAAATTTTTATACGCAACCAAGTTAATACACGTTTATTAAACTGAAAACTTTTACAAACCTAGTACATCTAATGGCAACTATACAACGTTTAATGCCAAAGAAGCTTGAAGTAGCAAAGCGTACAGATAGAAAGCGAAAAAAGATAGCCAAGAGTAGTGGATAAAATTGTCTTCGTTTTCGAAAGAAGTACGTAAATCATTTAACATGCGTACTGAAAATTTATGTAGATCGCCATTAGATCCTGGAATTATATTGGCTATCCGGTCGACATGTTCCAGTAGACGCACGTTCGGACCGCTTAGTGGTGAATAAATTTGAACAAATTCCTGTCCGTTTTTCCATCGCATCGTAGGTGTTCGGGCAGCTTTGTCCGTCTACATGCAGCACACACATGCTAAGTGACGTACATGAAAACTTATGCAAAATACGACCAAACTGTGATGATTCTATTTCTGTCATTTTGTTACCAAGAAAAAATTATATTTATTATCCGATTATTTATCTACTAACGGATACCCTCCTCCATTCACAAAAAGAATTTTTCTCTTATGAACATACTATTTCTTGATAACAAATATGAAATGAATAAACATGATGCATGAAATGATGACTAAATTTATTGATCAATTGTATTGGTGTATCGAAAACATACAACCGTGTATATATTTGTTTAGAAAGGTGACTTCTCTTTCTAAATTAATAAATTATTTATATTTCTTTGTGTAAAGAAGCTATGTGTACATACATGATAGACAAAGTTAAACATCGATGAAGAACTTTAGATCACAGTAAGTCGCGTGTTCGCGACAACGAAACTGTTTAACTCAAAAAATAAAACTTTTTACATTTGCAAAACATTAAAAGCTAAAATAAAGGATCGGCTTGATTATATAAAAAACAATCTGGTAATGACGTACCCCATATTATCCGCAATCGAGTCTGGTTTACGGGTAATAAGAGAAGCGAACTCACCTCACTTAAATCGACGACTTCCCCGGTAACTTCGTCGATGACATCCCCGTAACATTTTCCTGCCACAGAACACTTGTTGAAAGTCATAATATTCTGCGTCAATGTTCCGGTTTTATCGGAAAATATATATTCTATCTGTCCCAATTCTTCGTTTAACGTAGTAGTCCTTGCTTTAGCGTGCGTGTTCGTGGGTGCATAGTACATCTCTTCGTCCCAGTTGATCAAAAATGACTGAACGAACCGGATAACTTCGACACTCACGTATAAACTGATTGGCACCACCGTGTTCAGTACGATAGCATATGAAAAGAACACAAGTAGAGCGATCACTGTGGCACCGCCCATAGGCTCGGTAGGCACCAACGAGTCCCATGGTAGATACACTTGGAAATAACGGCCCACCAGACTCTCCCATATACCACAACCGATCATACAAAACAAACACATAGAAAGTAAAAAGAACACTATCCCGATGATGAGAAGATTCAGCAGCCTATCTATAGAGGTCCTCTTAAATTTGGTCTTCCCTGAGTTTTGCATCAATTTGGTATCCTTCCCTGCAAAGATGACTACACCGTAGCACCACTGCGTATTTCGGAGCACGCAACCTCGTAATATAATTTTGTCATTGTCCAGTGGGAATCTGCATTAAACATATGCCGTATAACACACAAAAGTTTCAATATATACATACAATTAAACGAACTATGTGTTTATTACAAGAAAAGAAGCAAATACTTACTTCCGTTCTCTCCACGTTAAAGTACCGTCAAATTTATTTAACAAATTATTAGGAGTTTCGCAAACAATTTCCCCGTCAAATTGACCGATTAACTCATGATTATCCATCATCTCGGCAGTTTCGGTTAAGCATTGCCGACACTTTAAATTCGTCTCCCTGAAATAATCAAACGAAGATGATCACTTTTTATAGCGATTTCAAAACTGAACTCGTTGCGTTCCACAATATCAAGATCGAGTGTACCGACCCATCTAATTCTGCGGTTTCTATATAACAAAGACCGTTCGGCTCACTAGTAGATAAAAGAAGGACATCGGCTGCAACGAACTGATCATTTTCCATCCTAATAACATCGCCCACTTGCACTTGCGACCATTTCTCCTCGCGGAGGCTGGTACCTCGCAGCGTTTGCGACTTCCGATTGTTCACCTGCGAATCGCTGCTATGCCGTTGCTGAGACAGAAATCAAAACAGTTTATGCAACAGATGCATCCGAAGAGCTCAAAATAACTACAGGTATTTTCCTTGCGTAATGTAGTTCTGTATTATCATTACACGTATTCCCATATGTATATTGACACTGGTTTACGAATGACGAATTCTAAGAGTATGAACGAGTAAGTGGAAATTCACGATACCTTGTCCATTCCAGACGTAATCATGGATCAAATTCTAGTTTAAAACTTACATCCCCTTTCTTCAATTTCGGCTGATAAATTTTTTCTACAAAATCTCAGCTGTTGTAATCAGTGGGCTATCTATCAAAACATCTTTTCGGAGTTTTCAGATTCCAATATAAAAAATTCATAACTTTAAATTAATTAATATATGAAAATCGTTTCTATTCCTTTATTTTAAGTACAATTCTAATGAAACAGTTAATAGTTTATTGTGATTACGAGTACATAATTTATTTAATAATAATGTGTGATTATTAATAATTTAAAATATTTGTCAGATTATTTGACAGTCAATAGGTACTTGGGAATGTCTTAAGAATATAAACAGACATACGCTTTAAAGTAGGCGACACACTGGAGCATTTGGTTGTAACAAAACAACAAGCACGTTAAAATGTAACGAAGAGTGCTCGCATCAAATGTTCTTTGTGCCACATGCAATTGTCACATTCTGACGAATCTTTTTAATTGTTACTAAGATTTGTGTTCGAATGTATCAATGTAATTCAGTTTTAATGTAACATTTACCTGAACGCTCATTGCAAGTGGACGCTCTAGTCTGTCGCTGACTTAAATGCATTTCATAATGTTGGTATACTCACAAAATCGTCGTAGGCATCTTTGACGGCAGTGAGCATGAGCACCCCTATAAGGGGTATAGCTGTAGTGATGGGAGTCAAGGAGGAGATAGCGGGGATCATCTGAAGCACCAGCAGGCATAGGAAGTAAAAGTTAGCGAGCCGCTGAAATTGCTCGAACAAATTTAATGGTAGGAACGTCAGAACCGAATACTTGGACGTTTTGATGTAGTTGTTCTGAAAGGTAGAAAAATATACATGTCTCGTCATTATCAATGCCACTTTTGCTGCCGCGTCTTAATTATTGCGCAGAAGAAAAAAAGAATTACGGAACCATATCTCGATCTTACCGCATAATTAAACTGTGAGTTGAACTCGCGATTATTGGCGCGAATTCTCCTCTCCGTTTCTGAAAGAGAAAGATACGATATTCAATTGCGATAATTGTAATAACATCATTGTATGTGAAAGGTTTCCGACAGAAATCAATGATTCTCATTAAACGATACCCCTTGTGGTTTCTTTCTTACATGCCTGATGGTAGGATTGATATTCGCTATTTCAACTAATTTTTATTACTACAGAATAAGGCAAATAAAATATCCGCTGTAAATTTTAATCAGCACTTTACTGACATAGCACACAAAAAGATAATAATTGAGAAGACGTTGACTGCAACAATTCAGTTACATAATTGCAGTTGGCACTGTATAAATACATGCTTCAAGATATCGAATCGAATATAAGTAATGAACGAAATTTAAGTTTCGAGTCGTGTATAGTCATCGCGCCTAATTAAAATTAAACTATTAATGGAGAAAAGGGAACTCATTCTTTGTACATAGTTAACTCGGTGTCGGGTATCACGGATTTGCAAGCAAAACGGATTACAAGATTATGTATGGGCAGATTGAGTAATGTGCAACAGTTTTTTCTTGACACCTACATATTAATTATCGTACTAGGTCTACTTAAACGTCTGCTAGAAATTTGATGCTAAAATAAAAATCGCTTTTATTAATATGTGCATATGCAAAATAAAACATTTATTGTATCAATTTGAAAAATATAACTTAAATAGGTATTCCTTCTATCACATAAACATTATGATATCTAATAACATTCAAAATTTCATACATCTTTATATCATACACGTGTCTTTTATATCTTCTGCGCGTTCAATCTTTCTATAAACGCATCAAATCTGTAATGTTATTAATATATTGGAACACATTTAATACATTTAATTAATATAGAATAGAGAAAATACGCGTTTCCGGAATGGATCATGGAGATCAGATCATATTATTTCATTTCATGTTTCATTGTAGTTGCAACAACAAACATGATTCGACTGATTCTGTTACGTACGTATACACTTTATTTGAAAGCAATCAAAACGTATAAATAAATGTATGACGAAAATATGTTCTCTATTGCGTAGATTTATATCGGACAAAATCGTAAACGACGAGTATTACTTTCAGTATTATTATTACATTTTATTTGGTTCAGCTTTTATTGTTTAATACAACGTGGTTCGAAGTGCTATCCATTAGACGAAGCTATCAGTGATGTCACGCTTAAGTGCACGCGTACTTGAATAAATCTTGAAGATCGATTTACTCGAAAACAGAACTTGGTACATATACGAGAATCGCGTTCTACATATTTTCAATTTATTTCCTTAATTCAATGACACGGAGTTAAATGCATCTATCAAAATAATCAACTTGATTAATAAAAGACAGAAAAATGTAACGAAAGCGACTTAAGTCTTGATGCGATTTTATTAGTTAAACGTTATCAAAATATAATTTGTGGTAATTTGAATTGTTACTCAAAACGAAGTTGAATCGAGAAACAAATGAAATTTTCTTGTGCAAACTAAATAATAATAAAATTCAGTTAATAGAATACTAAATTAGAATACTAAATTGTAACAACTTTTAGCAGAATTTTATATTTCGTCGAGTACTATCAGACTATGTAAATAGAATGAAAAAGAAACAATGCTTGAAAACGAAGTTTAGCCGTGGTTTTGACAGTATTCGTAAGTTTTTGGAGGGAAGGAGAGCTAGAAGATTTTGCAAAAAGTATAATCTTGTATCTACTCACTGAAGGAGTTTGAGCAACATGAAATGTTTACAAAACGCATTGCTCGAAGGAAAATGTAACGAAGCATCTGTTTTTATCTGTACCTGCACCTGACGATGAAAATTCTAGACTTACCACTGGAGAAAAATGAAGTGCTACGACCGATGCACTCGGTCGCGGGTGGCGAGTTGGGTGGCACTGGCGGCGAAGAGGATGCTGCGGTGGCCGAACGATACCTAGTTCCCTTCCAAATCACCAGCTTGCCTAGCACAGTTAGCAATGATTCTCGAAGGGTGTTATGCCTGCTCGCGCCACCCAAACTACTGGACGAATCCCTTTTCGAGCATTCGCCGACTGCCTCGACCTCATCCGAAGACGAAGGCAGATTCACCACTGTGTTCACTTCAGATCCCTCCTGTGGCAGCTGTTGCAAATGCAACAGCTGTTTCTTTCTCGTTTTTCGACGCCGTTTCTTCTTTCGTCTGGTACCGGAACTCTCCTCGTCGTTGCAGATCGACGCAGCGGCCGTCGATGCCTTCCGGCTATCTTCCGCGTCGGATTTCGTCGCGGTACACGCCAGCGAGAGTCTGTCCGCCTCGTCGCAGTCCTTCACCTTAGTTGTTACACAATAACATTGTGTTACAGGTTTTCGCAGTACGGAGGCGTTAACGATTCGTCGAGGACACGCCGTTTGGCATGACCGATGCACCTCTTTCGCGACTCCTTGTATTCTCGTTTCCTCTCTTTTTCTGCTCAACACTTTAATACGCCACTTTATTTCGATCTTATACAATAGTTGTACAATACGATGCCAGAGAATGAGGACTTAATAATTAAAGATTTTTATTATAGTAATTCAGCATGACTGTTTGATTACACAGCTGACAAAAATAATTAGTTTACCAAGAAAGCATCCATCAAAGTTTATCCAAGAAATGATGTCATATGTACTAGTTGGCTAGTGTCCCAAAGGAACACAAAAACGTTGAGTAACAACAGAAAATTTTAAGTGTAGAATCATTGTATACATATATACAGGGCGGGCCGGAAATCGTAGTATAACCGAGCAGGGGACAATTCTACATTAAAAAATACGAAAATATGTAGTGTTAAATCAGTTGACACGTTTCAAATTATTTTATTAATAACAGAATTAACAAACAGATCTTTATAGATACATTTTTAGAATGCAAGTTACCTAAGAAAAAAGTTATTAAAAATTTTATTTTTATATATTTTACATCATATAATTTTTATAAGAAAAACTGCACTTTCCTTGTCTTTATTCGCACGGTGCCAAGTACTTTACAGTTAAATATGGCTAGATATTTTTTAATAAAAGACACACATCTACTAAAAACACAGTTTGTTTGAAAATAATTAATCAGTAACTATGGAAGTCATTATGTAAATAATTTCGACGAAACTGCAGTTTCTCAGAGAACCGAATGTAAAAATAAAATCATTAATAACTTGTCTCGTAGATACCCCTCGCTCTGTAAAAATTTAATAACGTCGTTTTAAAAGCTTCACCTAGCAGTGGATCAAAGCTTAATCAAAATCCGATTGTTAATTCTACTTTCGATAGGACTCCTGTAACTGATTAAAAGAATCAGACTTCCCTCTATAGTGCATCGGACAACCCATCGAAAAGCTGTTTCAGTTCGACGAAACTTTAGAATTGTTAGACAGACCCCACATGGATTTAAATAGATTTAAACAAGAATAATCGGACGGTGCTCGCGGTGAATCATTAATGGTAACGATTTCTATTTTCCGCCATGGTTTTGCTCCCTCTTTCCTCCCTCGAGATAGAGGAAAACAAACTGACGTTGCACGGAATATTCAAAGATAGAAAGCTGCGAGACATAATATCGAGTGCAAAGAGAGTTTAACATTCTCTAAACGCGGATTTCAATTAATTTCCTTGAATAGATTAGATGAAAGATCCATGTCATGTATTGTTATTTCTGTGATCAATATGTCTATTGGATTTTTCTCGTTACATGTAAATGTTTCCTATCATAAAAAAATTGACAACATAATAACAATAAATGCTGAGAAGTAACACTATTTGCTCAGACTCGTTCTAGAAAATGATTCAGTATGATTGTTGTTGAATTTGATATTTTCCACGGAAAATAAACCTACTAATGCGATTTAGTTATCGGATCGACTGAGGACAGAATGATGAACGCCTTTTCGAAGGAAAACAATTTAGAAGCCAGAAGAAACCCGATCGACTTACAGTGATCCGGAATAAAGAATTAGTTGTTATACATCCACGTGATATAATAAATTTTAGATGTAGAAAATAACCTATTATCTAGTAAAAAGAAACAGTAGACAAAAGATTTTTTAAGTTGAAACATTATTACTTCTGATTAAAAATTGTTTTTGTTCTTAATAATTTATGATATAATGTTTAAATATAGTTTGTAAAAATATTTCTGTTGTTCAATTATAATATCCATCACTATTGTCTAATCGATTAATTCAAGAATTATAGATTATTTTGTTTAATTCACTGAACAACTAATTTCAATTCCGGACCACTCGGTGCGATTGATCAGAACTGAACATCTCCGAGTAGGTGTCTGTCCCACGTGTAAGAAATTATCGATTGGTTTTCGCTTTTCTATGTATAGTCGTCTTTAGTTCGCGCGGTACAGAAAAATGATTATACATCACCGATGCGATGCTCTAGAAAGCGTCACATTTGAAAACTGGTTTAAAAGTGTGACGTAGTGGAACGTAGTACTTAGTTGATCGCGGAAATATGTCATGGACGGTATAGGAGACAAGTCGACGGACTTTTGCGACATTTGTAACAAAGCCAAGATACGCAGATCACCGTAAAATTGAGTAGCCATAACGGATCTTTATTCTATCACAATAGCACATACTCGTATCATTATACTATGTACTTACTAAAGTACCATTTACCAAGAATCATTATACTGCAACTTACAAGAAGAACAAACTATTCTAAGCAACGATGAAAAAAATGTTTGAGGCCTGCTTGGACCATTCTGAAATGTTTTTCAAAATTGCCTCAAATAAACCTCAATATACATTTGTTTTTGCAAGTTTTTATTTAATGTCACACGCGATGATGGTAAACACGTGCAACGAGATTGAACTTGCATGAAAAATCAATGGGAAACAATAATAAGTAAGTAATGAAATCCAGGAAAATAGACTCGAAGAGATTTGATCCAGGGAACGCAGATTTACTAAATGTGTATCTTATCGATTTACCTACGAACTATCTCACCGTCACTTCTTCTTTGTCCATATGTATATCACAATGCAAATAAACTTTGCTATTTCCTACTATTCCCCTATTTACGGTTTAATTGATTTCGTAATAGGTGACACTTTTATCTCAACTATTCTTAAACTTGGAAAATTAATCGATACCATGTAAGGATTCCACTGGCGCAGGAATTTGTACCTTCATTAATCGGATTCCGACGATTACCTTGAACGTTGTTCTACTACGTGCGGTTGGTGTACATGGTCAAGCTGATATACATATATGTACCTTTGTTAATTAACTTACTGGGTTTATTGCTCCATGAAAGAAGTTCGTTCATTGCATCAGAAATTATTCCGTTTGCACGTTTTTAAAATATACATATGAGTTGAGTCAATAAGAAATATAGAATACCTTATTATTTAATGATTTTATCAAAGTATGGTGTATGTACTGCTGCGTATGTAGACGATGAAGATCATTAAATGAATATATTTTGGCAAATCAAAATTTTTGAATAGGCTTTCTAATGAAATCAATGATCAGCGTGAGAATAATTTAAAATGATATTTCTCATTGATTCAGCTCGTATTCAGAGATACTGCGCAATATTTAATATCTTAAATACTTTCTAATAAAAACCCTTATCAAATACATGAAACGCAAATAAAATGGCGAATATGTGTGACGTATTTTGCAGAAGTATAAGAGGAATTTTCATTCGTAAAATTTTCATCCCTATGGAGCAACTGTATGGAGCAACGTGCAAGTAGGTAGGGAATCACGTAAGAAATGCATCGATCGTCAAACGGCACACGAGAGTCAGCGAACGGAAATCCAATGAACATGTAAAACATTCAATCTTTTAATGACCAAGAAAGCTTCCGATCATGGCTATTTCTTAGAAATAAAATTTACGTTTGTTTAACGACAAGCAGCGACAGATTTTCAAGAAATTTCATATACGTGTAGCTGATATAAATGGAACAAAATGTACAAATCTAACGAAGCGAATTATCATACTGCCAGAAAATCTAATCACATGTTTGGATCCGGGTAATTTACCGAGTGCCCGCGGTAACATTCGACAATCCCAAGTATTCCAATTTTCATAGACAAGAAGACGACATGTTATTAAAAAAAAGCATTAGAAAAGATGTGTACGCGTGTATGATCATTTTACCAATGAGCAGCAAACTGAAACTAATTAGCTTGTACTTCCGGCAAGTTCCTGCAATCCTTGCCGAAGTCTTGACGCGTGACTTCCGTTCGTTGTGTCCTCGAGAGTATTGGAGGACTCACCTCGAAAACCTCGAGTTCCAGCGTGTCAACCTCGACGCTCATCGTCTATCCTACGCAAACTATAAACCTTCTATAAGGCCAACCTCTTCTTCCTCGTGGCACTTTAGCCGTGCCGACGAGACGATGTCCGCCTTGCCTCTTACATATTTCCACCTGGGTCCCTCCTCTTCTTCGTCCTCGCGAATCATTGCAGGTACAGGACGGCATTAGCCCGTTAACTCTGTCTTCGTTGAATCACGATGTCTGTTCCCGACTACGTGTCCATTAATCGTTCGTTGGCCGTGTCCTTTAATCGGCATTTTTTACCGATACCAAGCAACTATTTTATACGTTCTATAAATCTCACTGTTTCTTACGAGAATAACTTTTCAATGACTATTTTATCGTTTTAGTATCATACATCACGTGTCTTTTGAGCTCCATTCGAAGTGTTTAATTAATCCACGACATGTTAATCAAATTTATTAACACCGTGGTTTTACGGACTTTCATTCAACGGACAAGTTCCTGATGTTCACAGTCTTATGATAATTTCGTTCAGAAGAAATTTGTAATTCGCTATCGTTGGAAGGGTTACCATGAGAAAGCGCGATGCTTTTCGATAGCTGCTAGTGGTCACGCGGGTTTTCCGCGATTCAACGGGGTTTCTGCAAAGAAATTGTTCTTATCACCTGTGATCCTGCATGCATATGCAAGGATTCAGTCTGGTATATCGAGCGGTACAAAACCAAACGTTTCTGCCTGAAGACAGTTTTGTTTGTTAGAGCTTTTCACTTTATCTGGATTTCGTCGTCCGGTGAGAACCACATGTTGCCAGCATACCGGCCGGAATAAAGCTCATTTTCTACGATACATTTCTTATACCATTACAGATGTGGCCGATCTCGTACCAACTGAGCATTATTTCGGCTAGTACGCAACGAACGATCTGGATAATGTGAAAAGGATCTTACTTAGTAAAACTAATTGTCGACTCGACACAAACACTGATTTGTCGTTATCTTTTAGCAAAGCGCGATTTTCTAAGTTTTCAGTTTTGTCAAAGACAAAACTATCTTCCGACAAAATCTTTTTAGCATGCCTTACTATTGCATTCAATGGATGGAAATTGGGAAACGAATTTAAAAAGTGCGTTGACAATAAAACTGAACCATCATCTGCTATTCGTCGATGAAACATTGGGCAGAAATAACCCGACGTTCTTGTTTAAAAAAAACATGCGCATTATTAACACATTGACCCGATTCGAGTTTAAAAATAATTTGCGAAAATCCGCAATCTGCTATTCTTTTGAGAAATGCGGGCTGAAACACGTTTATCCCCAACATTTTAACAGTACTCTAAATATAATATTTGCTTAGATTCCTATGGATCAAATACTGCAAAAATTAGTTTACTACGGGATGTATAAAAAAGATCACAGCTGGTCTAAAGCACGAGGAAAAGTGTAAAATTCGTTTTTTATCTCTTACCTGAACCTGTACTAAAATGTATGTAGAACATTTTGTAGTTCTACACCAATTATACATGGTGAACATTAAAACCTGTTAGCACTATTACAAGCTACATAACCTTATGTACTTGCAGAATATTAATCCAACTGATCTTTCAAAAGAACAGTTCAAATCATATCGACCAATATTAAAAAAGTTATTCACCTTCAAATAGTGTATTTTCTACACTTATTGCATGCACTTGAGCAGCGTTCTCAATATAATATTTGTTCAAATTGTTAGGAAATATTGCAATTATCTGTAAAGGTTCGTTTTTCGATTAAATTGTTATCCTTCGCATGGGAAATAAATGAAAGCTCAGGTAACGCGTGTGCGCTGTTACGTAGATATAAATTTTGTACTTGTTGCACGAGGTCATATGGCTCAAATTACAAGAGATCGATAGATATAATTTATTACCGGGAAATTTCGGAGAACGACGTTGATTGAGGAACTTCAACAGGATTTATTGTCTATTTGCGAATTTTTAATATGAACGTGACTATTTACTTAATATATAGAATATTTATCAGCATCGTGATCCTTGATTATACAGAATATTAATCTTTTGCGTATCAGCATTAAAAAAATGCTTACGATGTCAGGAATTACAAATTGCAATGATCGTATTCATAATTTTACTTTCAGATTTAAGAATTTGGCAGTGTTGTTTGATATCAAGTAGTAACACGTAGCACATGGTAAAGAATTATTTAAGTTCATCGGCGTAGAGACAAGAAAATGTTTGAGAAAATGAATATTCGCTATGAACAGCTTTACGTGTCTCAATTGTACAGTCATTCCCAATTATATGAAGGGTGCAGTTTTATAATATGCAACGGTAAATAATGAAATACGTACATAGACGATTCCGTGGGATAGATAAGATTAAGATTTGTCGAAAAATATGAAGGAGAGAAAACTGAACACGCAATTTAACAACAATTCTAATTAATGTATAGAAAATGCGATGATCTTAAATTCCGCAATTCTTTGATCATTTCAATAACACGAATTTAAATGCAACTTTAATATGTAAAAATATGAAATAAATAAAACGTAATTAGTTAGGTAAATCCTTATTTTCATCAAACGTGTTAAATTGTATTATAAAAAAAATGGGAAGAATCTCCAACCGCGAATACGTTCGCTCTGATCTTGGCATGGTCAAGGAAGGGTTAAAACCGTCGTTTTCTTCGGTTGTCCTTGGTACCACATGCACGAATGATGTCAGCGCAGTTTGACCAAGACCAAGCCACACATCGGGCCTCGACGAACGAAAATATCCGATGTGTACTTACGTGTCTCACTCAAAATATACATATATTAGCGGCTCTCGTCGAGGCTCGATATATAATCATGGTTCCGAGATTTCCAGGGAATCCATGACGAAGAGCAAGACAGCTCTTTACTAGCCGATCTCCTAAGACTGGAGCTACGATAATAGCTCTTATGTAAGGTGATAGTGGTTCTCATGTCGACTGACGTGTTCGCGGAACTTGCAGTTGTAGTAATAACGTTGCCGGATATTTTACTTCTGCAAGTCGCAAAAATCTACTCCTACTCGCGGCGAAGCAACTATTTTAGTGTGCGCACACGATACGCGGACTTCTATCGAACGACGAAATCGGACGATTCAATCGGTGTCGATGGCTTTCAGAGCCTTTCATCCAGATTAATTATAAGATTCTTAACGTGATTCGCCCTCGAAATTCTTTTCTAATGCTGAATGTGACCGATATTTTCGTAGGTAATGCATGCCCTACTCCAAATGATTCCGTGGTTCAAGCAAATCATATATGGTACATACATACTTTCAAGAAACTAATTTTTCATTATTGTACATACCTACACGTATAGCTCCCTACCTACTCGATGATAATAACCGAACGATTAGGAGAGATCTCGTTTCCACGCCCTTCTTTTCTTACGTTATTTCACTGCAAAACTAAACCGGAGTTCGAGAACAACTCCCGACAGATTACAAATTAGTTTTTAAAAACTGTGTCGATGCCGCGTGTAAACTTTTTAGTGTAAGAATTGTTCGTCAAGACAATATAACGCTTAATAAAATTCGTTTTCGCCAACCAGTATAGCATACAATTAAATATTATAATATTATTATTTTAATGTAATGTGTGAAGTACAGGGTGCTATTTTGCAAACGATAGTGGGTGCAGAATACGGGACTAGATTTCAGAGTATACATATGCGGTTGTTACATAATGCGTAGTATTTTATACTGGACATAAGACAACGGCGTCGAATATCATTTTTTAGATACGGGCAAATCGCGTTTGTAAATTTTTTATCTTCGGATTGACCGGTCTAGTAGCTGGCATTGATCCAATCAGTTTGAGTTACCGATATCAACGATATTCATTTAATTGCATCGTCGCGGCTACTGGATACAAAGGGTCCGATTTATTTTTTACGGCAGACCCGCAAACAGAACGGAAAGGAAAGACACGAGTTCTTTTTCATCCGTAGGCGAAAAAAAATGTCAAATGAGAATGTCAAGTGAACGAGAAATGTTAACGAGAAAGAAAACTGCAAAGACGTTGCATCGTGTTTTACAAGTCTCAAAGATACGAACGATCTTATGATGGAAAAGTTGATACGCAAACCAGATCGTTATAGTAAGAATTCAAAAACTTGTACCATGCGCCATTCCCAGTTCGTGCAAAAGATTTTACAGAATTTAACATGCACGAGACGTTGTTAAAGTGTATAATGAATTTAGCAAATGTTGGAATAAGAAACCGTAAAGAAAAAAGTAGGAAAAAAAATGCCGATTTGTTCTTCCGTAGTATTCTTAGGATGCTGCCTGTAGCATTGTATAAAATTACTTTCCCAAAATTCTTTCATTCTGAGTATTATAAGAAAAGATACAAAAAGATATAAACGTATGAATTAAAATTCTGTAATATCATGATCTTCCCAATTTCAGTGTGACTTATTTGAAATCGAAGACGATGCATTGTTTTACCGACATATTGATCTGCATAACAGCTTGTACTAATTTGTCTATATTATTAAGCATCTACATGTGCATTTACGCGGATGAATATGAATACTAAAATTACTATAATGCGAAAAATATTTATTTCCCGTAGCGTTTGTAAAGTCTGACGTCAACTTGGGATAATTTCCGGGTAAGACAGCCAAGTAGGTTTTCTAGGGACCAACATTTCGTAATGACTCGATTTCTTAACACTATTCCTACCAGGACCGGTCAAATGACCGTTTTTAAATTTTCTGCTGGTTTACGGCACTTCCAAGTGTTTGCAGTTCTCGCTCGACTATCGGGTTAGCGTTGTTTATTTGCTTGTTTTAGCAACAAAACTTTTAGCAAAAAAAACTACGATTGTTGGGACAATTAGAGCAAATAGAAAAGAGCTACCAAGACTGGCAAAACTGAAAAACGACGACATGGCACTTTTCTCAACCAAACTCTATCGCTCAAATAATTGTATGTTGACAATTTACAAAGCCAAACCAAGAAAGAAAGTTCTAATTCTCAGTTCAATGCACAACTCCGTACAAGTTGAAGAAAATGACACCCGAACACCGGAGACAATTCAATTGTATAATAGCACCAAATTTGGCGTAGATGTGACCGAGCAAATGGCCAGAAATTATTCGGTAAAATCTAAATCTCGGAGATGGCCTTTGCAAGTATTTTTTAATATCTTGGATTTAGTCGGGATAAATGCATGGGTGTTATATAAAGAAACTACGGGAGAAGAAATTACAAGACAGGAATTTCTATTCCAATTGGCAGAAGAACTTGCCATCGCATACCAACAAAAGCTCGGCAAAGAAAATCAACCAATACCTATCGCAAGTACAAATACAGGTTCCCGTGAACGGAAAACATGCCAGATAAGGTATTGTACAGATAATAAGACGAATAAAGTCTGTCTAAAATGTAAAAAGTACGTATGCGGAAAATGAACAGTTGACAAGCCCATTTGCAAAAAATGCGATGAAAAAGAATAAAATGTAGATTATGTACTCTTGAATAAAAAAAAATATATTTTTATACTGGTAAACTGGCTATTGGTCTGCATTCAATATTGAAAAATATAAGTTGTGAAAGACCGGTCATTTGACCGGCCGCGGTAGGAATAGGTATACGTGAAGTGTCGGTAGGAATAGTGTTAAGTGTTCTGAAGCGGAATTCACGAATCTTTCATACATACGTGGGATACAAGTCGACTTATAAGCGTTTAAGC